TCCCGAGTGACCTCACTCGACCAAGGATGTGCCTTAGGACTCCGTACAAAAAAGGCTTCCTCCCGAGTGACCACACTCGGCCAAGGATGTGCCTTTGGACTTCATGCAAAAAAGGGTTTCCCTTCCGAGTGACCCCACTCGGCCAAGGATGCGCCTTTGGACTTCAGACAAAAAGGGCTACCGTCCGGAATGTTCATACCTTCGGAAGTTTCACAAAATGCTCCTTCACCGAATACCTTTGCTTTCGGTTTTTACTCGCAAAGGTCACCTTGCCGAAGGACCTAACTCGGCCATCTCAACGAAAATCGCTAAATTCGGTTCACTCAACTCACAACGGTCGTCTTGTTGAACGGCCACATTTGGTTTTCACTCACGAGGATCCCCTTGCCGAATGACCTAACTCGAGGTTTCCATACAAGGCTTCTTCGCCGAACTCAACTCGGCAAGGGTAACATCTTGGGGATACATTCGTCTTAACTACTCAGCCATGAAAGAAATTTCATACTTTAACCGTAGAAACAAAATTTATTTACGAAAAGAAACAACATTGTTAAAGAAAGTAAAAGTCATTTCATTGCAAAATCCAAGGCTCTATCGGCCCCTTTTACATTAATCAAAACAAACTAAAAGCAAAAAACTTAGGCTACCCTAAACGCCTTCATATGGCAACCTAATCCTGAGGGTTATCAACGGGGTCCTCGCGGGTGTCGGCATCGGCATCGACCTCCTGGTCGGGAGTTTGTCCCTCCTGCTCGTCCTCAGGCTCGCCATCAGAAGCAACCTGAGTATCTTCCTCCAACACAGGAGCAGCGTTCGGCACATCGTTGTCGGGGTTTGCCCCTCGGGCATATCCCTGAATGACATGAAGGACCCCTTGTAAAAATCTTGGCCCATGTCAAATTCAAAATCCTCCCGGAATCGGTCGAAGTACTTGGCCTGCCGAACGACATGTCGGAACCCAGCTTCATGTTGAGCGACAATATGCTCTTTGGCTTGTTCTTTCAACCGATCCAGCTCGGCCCTCGCCTCTTCCACCCGCCGGCGCTCCTCATTGGACGCTTTCTGAAGATCCAGTCGAAGGGTATCATTCTCGCGCCTTAGCCTATCCAGTTCGGCAACAAGCTCTTGATTCTTGGCCGTTACGTCCTGTGCAGTTGACAGGGCTTCAGCGGACGCCTTGTCGGCCTCTTCAACCCTTTGCTTTAAACGCATTAACTCGCTGACCGGCTCCATGGCGAGATGATGAGCAAGTGCCAACGAGCGTGCTTGCACCTCGCAAAAATATTTCCATTTGGACACGGTATCCAACCGGTCCAAGAATTCCAGCCCATGGTCCGACACCGCATCCGGCTGAATCAAGGTATCAGCGGACACATCATCACTCAGAAATGCGTGAGACATCAGAGTGGGGGGCACCACGATGACGATCCGTGTCGGCGATGGCTCGGCAGGTTGCTTCAATTTTTTTGCCTTTTCCGGGCGTGCTTCGTTGCCTTTTCTTTTTTGACCCTCTTGATCGGCCCCCTTTCCCTTCTTCCCCCTTCGATGCTTGCGTTCAGGAGAGGGGGGATTTCGGTCGTCTTGGACTGGTCGGGGAGTGCGGGCAATGGCTGAACTGCCCACCATTCCGAATTGTTGGGCCTTTTGTACCCGGTCGGCCAACATGTTCCAGATATTGAACTCATCGGCACCACTCGACACCATGATTCCTGCAAAAAACGAGCAAGTGAACATCAATATGAATTTAGAACACGGCCGAAATAGGAGAGATAACACACCTATCAGATCGTTCTCCCATTGAGGAGATTCTATCAAATTGATTAGGGATCTGGTCGGCAAACGCCGAGGGAGGCGAAGCAACAGTTTTAAATCCTTTCGCTCTTCGGCTGAAAGCAGTTCTTTTGACACAGTATCGTATGGTCGAGGGGCACGTGTCCAATACAACGGAAATAAGCTCCTATCGTCCTCGCTAAAGAAGAAGCGTCGTCCGTTAGAGCGAATGGTCACTCGGAAAAATCCAGCTTTAAAATTCTTGTAGGAGGAGGTAAAGCTATCCAGTAATTGCCGATCCCCCACTCGGCTTAAAGACAACCACTTTGCCAACGTGGACGGCCTGGACGAGTAGAAATAGAGAAAAAGGAGTGGCGAAGGCCTAATGCAAAGGCATCGTCATAAATGCTTGAAACCTTGTATTTGAGCCCAGCTGTTCGGATGTAGTTGCGTCGGAGCAACGTTCAAAACTCTCAACACACCCATTGTAAACTCGTCAAACGGCAACTTTACCTTGAAATCTCGAAGAAGACAATTGTATATGTAGAACGAATCCAATTTAGGGGAATGTTGACCTAGGCAAACCATGTTGGGGTTGGAAAAGGCATTGTTTCGGCAAGACCGAACGCCGATAGGATAAGGCTCCTCCTTAGCGTCGAATGTTAGGCAGTTGGTATACTCCAGAAGGTTGGTAATCATTGTTGTGTCTCGGTAGCGAGAGTAATACGACGTCACCTCCCCATTAACCCATTCAAAGTCAGGTACCTCAGACGGCCCATATCATTGTCGATTCGAGACACGCCTTGATTTAGGCTGATCCTCGGGACTTCCACTAGTGGAGGTTTCCCTTGAAGAAGTTGCACTACCATCAGGTCTTTCAGTGTGGACTGGGGATAGAACTTCCACGCTTAAACGACTAGAATCACTGATAGACCATGGGCCAAGGACCCAGTTACCAGAGCTATGGCTAGAAGAATACAAGAAGAGTTGGACCTTGTAAAGACTAGTGGACTTGCCAAGCCCAAGGTAGTCTTCACTTGGAATGCTCTATCATGAAGAGAAGCCTAGTTCTACTTGTATATATTGTATAGTTTCAAATAGTCTCTTGTATAGGTTATTTTTGCCTTTGTATTTGTGAGGCACTTTATTTGCTTTTTCCTAGTGTTTGTATATTGATTTTGAGGTAGGTTACTTGGAGAGTTTAACTCCATTTAACCTCCCTAGTTCATACTTTCATTTGGTATTTTTTCAGTAGGGAAAAGGGGGTGCTTTTAGCAAAGCTAGGGAGTGTGCTTAGAAATTGGGCCTGAGTTGGGCCTAGGCTAAATTTTGCATATTGGACTCATTTTGCTCCTAATTTTTCATAGATTTGATTTAGCTAGGTTTCATCATCATATGATGAACCTAACTAAACCAAATTGAAGATTTTCAAATTAATCTTGGAGCCATTTTGAGACCAAGGCCGCCTAGCCCAAATGACTTCCTCTTGGCCGAAATTTCTAAGACTTCTCCTCTTGGTTTTGAAGCTTGCCTTGCAAGCTACTAAACTAAGGGAGGTTAAGCCAACCTTACCATGGTTCTTAAGTGAACCATGGTCAAGGTTAGCTTCTCCTAGAAGCTAGCTAAAACCGTGGGAGTTAAGTTCACCTTACCATGGTTCCTAGTGAACCATGGTTAAGGTTAGCTTCTCCTACAAGCTACCTTATCCTATATATTTGTTTTCTATACTCTTGTCATCACTTTTGAACATTTGAGAAATAAAATTCTGATTTCTCTCTCAAGAGTCCCTTACCAAAACCGAAGAGAATTCTCTCTCAAGGTTTCTCACCAAAGTTTCTTCAAACTTTGCATTGGTTCCTCAAGCTTCTACAACAAGCTAGGAGTAACCGAATCACTTCCATGACTTCTACTCCATTGGAGATTGCTTCAAGGAGTTTCAGATCTCATTCTAAGGTTTCCTCAAGAGTTCTTCGGTCCTTTGCATGGAGAACTTGAAGATTCATCAATCTTCTCCAAGTAGCTCCATCAATCACTGGACAACGACTCCCCGGACGATAATGGCCAAGAACTACTGGTCGAAGAGCTTTCAGAAGTGTCAGCCATGATAATAAACACTTACCAAGGTTTTTGAAGAACAAATGTAATCACTCGGCACACTCGATTCGGTCTCACGATCGTTCGGACAATATACCTCGGCTGAGAGCGATACGCGTGGGAGGCCCTACCACTCATGGCCATATATAGCCAGGAAAAGAGGCGGGAAAATTCAAAATTTTGAAAAGTGTAACCGTCCGATCTTCAAGATCCAACGACTCAGATTGTACAAACCTTTTGACTTACCCAGGGAAATCAACTCCAACACTAAACCCTTGAAGAGAGTTGGCCCTTCTCCAAGGCTGGGGGGCAAGTGTACAGATAAGAACATTCGGCCACCATATAGCCGACACGCCATCGGCCACCGAATGGCTGAACCTGGTAGTCGACACTCGATCGGCCACCAAATACACCATGTGGTCAAGGATTACCCCTAATCAAGAATTAAGGGTTAATCACATTAATAAGCTAATTAGGGACGTATTACCTAATACGGTAATCCTGTTGCAGGGTCCATGGAAATCCGGGCTCATTAATGTCAGTATAAATAAGCTCATGTCACGAGGTAACGTCACTGTTTATTAATTGCTATCGATATTTGTGTTTGTCCTGACTTGAGCGTTGGAGTGCCTTTTGCATGTATCCTCCCTCACCCCGGAATATTCGATCGGAGCTCTCGTTTAGCCCTCAGAATACGAGAAGATTACTGGTGTACCCTTCAGACAGGTACAATAATCAAATTAACTTAGTCATCAATTTATGTATGTACTTTATATAAATTATGCATAATGAAATAAAGCATTGAATAATCACGTGTTTACCTCCATGAGTTCTCTAGCGTGAATTGCAACAATCACAAGATGCAATTTTATATAGTGATCCACGCCCTCACAAAGTGCACGCTTAACTCACATGGGGAAACCAAACTAGTGTGTACCTAAGTTTCATTTCTCGCATGTAACAAAAACCAGCAACACACTCTTTTCATTTTTTGTCCAAAGCAGCAAAATACAATGCGTACAGAAGACAACATGCACCATTCATGACCCAAATTTATGTAACCATGGCATGGCATATCATTTTTGTTTATACATATAAAAAACCCTCCACACGTATCTCACCCCACCACCCCAAAACCCAATCCACAAGAAAATAATTATATCATAGACAAAAATGGCAAGGATGATGGATACCAACATTGTGATTTTGGCCATGATTGGAATTCTAGTGTTTTTTGGTGCCAACAAGAATGTTGTTGCTGGCCAGTGCCTAGGAATGCAGGGCCTCATAACCCAATGTGCTATGTATGTTGAAAAGTTTGGCCCTATGATGAATCCATCACCAGAGTGTTGCTACCAAATCAAGAATGCAGATGATTCATGTCTATGTCAGCACATAACCAACGCAGTGCTACAATTTATTGATTTGCAAAAGGTGATTTATGTTACTCAGTCATGTGGAACCCCAATACCCTCTGGAACCAATTGTGGAGGTATAAAAATATTTAATCCAACAAATTTGTGTCTCAATCTCAATCTCAACTTTCAATAAACGAACCATTTAAGTGTTTGATTATGTCTTGACCAAAACATGACTCATTAACATTGATAATTGACTATTTAATTTCTTCTTGTTGTTTGTTTTGAAGGTATTACCGTGCCATGATCAAATGGAGGAAATTACCTTTACTTTATAATGTTGGTTCTTATAATAACCTCATGGTTTAGGTACAGAATAAATAGAGGATAACTTTGGTGTATTTATTTGATCTTATGAGCAATAGAAATATGGTTGTCATTGATTATTAGAATATTATTAATTTTTTTAAAGTGATATTATTGTCTCTTTTACTTAAGAAAATTGTTCTTCTAACATAGTCAATATCTATCAGGTAAGTGCTAAGAAAAAAGAAAAAGAAAAATTAGTATTGATAAACTGCAGCAATGCCTTGGTTATGAGTTATTTGATTAAGTTAAAAGCTTTTGGAAAACTAGTCATAACCAAAAGACTTATTTACTAAACGCTTAACATTAAGTTATAATTTATTTCTTGTTAAAAAAAAAGCTATAACTTATTTGATTAAGTTAAAGCATTTGGAAATTAGTTTAGTTTTATTTTTGGTACAGTAAAGTATTCCTTAATGGAAAGTTTAGAGCTAGCTGATTAAGGACTAATCTTTTTAACTATTAAAATTCATTTTAAGATATAACATCTTTCAACAAATATTTTTTTATATATTATGTTTTAAGGATTATTTATCCACCATGTTATATCTTATTGGTATTTAATAAATTAATTTACTAGTTTATAATTTAAAAGTCACGAGCTAATAAATTATCAACTATATATATATATATAAAAGTTTAAAGTTATAAATTAGCTTCTTTATCAAACTCGTTAGCATATTATCTTTTATCTTACTTTATGATATATATCTTTAATAATTTATTGTGATTTTAGGTTTGTCTTTGTTTTTGAAATAAAGTTAAATTATTTTCACCTCTTTACTTAAAAAATGCCTCTTTATTTTAAATTATTTATTTATTATTATACTATTTATTAATTTATTGTATTCTTAAGTTTAATAAAATATTTTAGCTTTAAAAAAACTGTTAAGATCATAATGGAATATTTGAGGAAAAAAGTTAAAATAATAATTACCTAAAAATAGTTTTCCTGAAAAAAAAATTTATAAATATATTTTTTATTCTTTTAACAAACATTCTAACAAACTCCAAGCGTGTGATTCAGCGGTATGGGTTGATCCACGAGTTCGAATCCTACCTTGTGTATGCAGCCGCGTTAAATCTTGAGGGTCAGGAGTTCAAATCCTGATACTCCAAGAACGAAAAAAAATAAAAATAAATAAACACTCTAACAAATAGTTTTTCAACTAACTTATCTAATATCATATATTGATTAGTTAATAAATTCATTGGCTTATGTGATAGTGTACTTCTCTAATCAAATATTATATATTAGTAATTGAAAATTTGTAAATCATTAGCTAATGTGAAAGTGTTAAGATACGTGTACAGAAATCATTATTCTAGAAAAATACAATTTTTACTTAGTTTGTAAATTATATGTATAAAAAAGATTTAAAAGTGAACTTGTATATTTTGTACAATTTTTAAACATTTGAGTAGAATATCCTAGTCCTGTCTATAATCGGTAGAATATGTATTGTTAGCACTATGAAAATGAATCTTGTGTCCACAGTTTAGTTAAATTTGAAATAAAATAAATTAAAAAATCAAAATAATATTTTTAATCAAGGTTCAGGAAATGATTCTATGAGAAGAGAAGAGATCAAACTTTACTACACTCCCAATAAATTCATCTGAAAATATTATCTAAATTAATCATCTATAACAATATATATAAAAGGTCACATTTTTTCAAAGATAATTATATTTTTATATTATATTATATTTTTCTAAATTATATTTAAGAATAAAATAGGAATAATATATAAAAAAATATCTATCCTCTTTAAAAATAATAAATATCCATTTTTTAGAAGCACTAATATATTAATTAATTTATTTTTTTTATAGTGGCGGAGTGCTTTTTTTATTCTACTAGTACAAATAAAAAAACATTTATTTTATCCCATTTTATAAAAAATAATAATAATTAAATATAACTGACAAAATAAAAGTAATTAGCATGGTGTTGAAAATTGAATTAAATCGATTAGTCGGATCAATTTAATCAGAAATCAATCTTTACCTGATGTAGTTGGTTTAGAAAATTATTTCGTAATGAGTTGGTGAAAAATTGGTAAAGTCTTCCCAAACCAGTAAAAAAAATTTGTCAAATTGGTTTAAACCGGTCGAATTAAAAAAATAATTTTTAATTTTCAAATTTTAGTTTAAAATGCTTTTATAAAAATACATATTTAATAAGAAATTATAAATTATAATAACTTATTTTAATATTATTTTGTAAATATAACTTAATTATTGATATTAAATGGTAATTTTTTAGTATTTGTATTTTTATAATTTATATCATATTAATTTAATATTTTTTATTTTAGATAAATTTATTATTATTAATGGATAGTTATATACCTCGCACTTACACGACTAATTTTAAAAATTAAAATCACAAAATATAACTCGTGAGTATATTTAGGAAAAAGAAATGGATACTTTATTATGGGGTTTACTGGAATGGTTGGATCTTACTCAGTAGTACAAGCTGAATTATGGGCGATATATCATGGCCTCCACATTATTAAAGAACGTTTTCTACAGGCCTATATTTTTATAGAATCAGATTCTGCAGAAGCTATGAAATTCTTGAATGAAGGATGTTCTCGTAATCATCCATGTTACTCCCTAGTGAACCTAATAGTAAGGACAACAAATGACTTTCATAAGCTAGAGTGCAACCATGTTCTTCGAGAGGCAAACCAAGTAGCAGATAGGTTTGCTAAGGAAGGGTCTTGTATTCCCTCTGAAATTAAAATCTTTCACGCCCCCTATTTGGGCTCATTTTCTTTTGTTTGCGGACAAGCCTACTGTACTTTTCCCTCGTGGTTTTAAATAATATATCTAGACTTTAACGCCTCCCATTTCACCAAAAAAAATTAGGAAAAAGAAATCTTAACCCTAAAAAAAGACGTCAAATACTAATAGGCATTTTTAATAAATAAATAAATAATATATATATATATATATTTATATTTATTTATTGAATGATTCAAGTGAAAATACTTATTAATATAAGAATAAGAATATGTAAATAATTAATGATAATTCTTAGATTAAAATAAGACTTATATTAAAAAATTATATATAAAGTTATAATGTACCACCATCATCATAATTTTTTTTTCTATATTTTTGTAGTTAACTTATCACTTCTACCTCTATTGTACTTTCACTACATCATCACCACTACCATTGTTGCCGTCACAATCATTAGCATTGTCACTATCACTATTATCATTGTTGTTACCGTTGTCGTTACCACTATCACTATTGTCGTTGTTACCACTACAACGGTAGTAATGACAACAATAACAATAATAGTGGTGATGGAAGTTGTAACAACGATGATGGTGATGACGGCAAAGGTGACGATAGAAGTGACAACAACGATCCTTGTGGCTATGGTGGTGGTGGTGGCTTTTACAACAACATGGATGAAGACAACAATGATAGGGAGAACTAAGATAACGATGGTACGTGGTAACATCTTTTAATTCAAGTTGTTTTTTATTTTGATAAAAATACATTTTTCGTCCCTTGTATTATTTATCAGTATCAATTTATTCTCATTTTAATTAATTAAATTAATTTAGTCCCACATTTTTAAAATGTATCTCAATGTTTGATTTTCTGCTTCCTCCATTTAAATATTTAACGGATTTGACACGTGTCATGCCATATGTCATGTTGTCATGTCACGTGTTATGCTGTCATGTCACATGTCATGTTGTCATGCCATGTGTCATGATGTCCAACCATGTGACATGACAATATGACACGTGTCATATCCGTTAAGTATTTAAACAGGAGAGACGAGAAATCAAACATTGAGATACATTTTAAAAATGTGGGACTAAATTGATTTAACTAATTAAAGTGGGACTAAATTGACACTAATAAATAATATAAGGGATGAAAAATGTGTTTTTACCTTTTTTATTTTAATCTAATGATTATTATTAATTATTCTTATGTTTTTATATTAATAAGTGTTCTCATTTGAATCGTTCTATATATGTGTGTGTGTATATATATATATATATATATAAAAGGAGGAATCATTTTACTCTAGTAGTAAGTCTACTTAGACTTACTTTGTTCAATAACTCATGTTCAACATCAAATTTTAACAATCCAACCGTTGAAATTAAACTTCTTATGCATTGATCAAGTCTAAAATTTTTTAAAAAAATTTGAAAATTATTTAATACTGCATTTCATTAATTCAAATTGATGAATAATTATAAAATCATTTTATACATTGATTTGATACTTTGTTTCATTAATTCAAATCAATATATAAAATAATTTTATGATTATCCATCAATTAAAATTAATGAAATGAAGTATCAAATGATTTTTAATTTTTAAAAAAATTTACAGACTTAATATGTGCATTAAAAACTTTAAATTCAACGGTTAGATCGTTGAAATTTGATGTAGAATATAAATTAATAACTCAAGTCCTGCATCTAATTTTAATGATCCAATCGTTAAATTAAATTTTTTTAATGCATAAATTAAGTTTATAAATTTTTAAAAAATTTGAAAAATATTAGATACTTTGCTTCATTAATTCAAATAGTAAGTCTATTTGAATTTACTTCGCTCAATAACTCATGTTCTACATTAAATTTTAATTATTTAATTGTTAAATTAAAAATTCTTAATATATAGATTAAGTCTGTAAAATTTAAAAAAAAAACTAATTAATATTTCATTTCATTAATTCAAATTAACAGAGAATCATAAAATCATTTTATATGTTAATTTAAATTAATGAAAAATAGTATAAATAATTTTCAAATTTTTTAAAAATTTATATATTTGATTTATACATTAAGGACTTTTAATTCAACAATTGAATCATTAAAATTTGATATAAAATATGAATTATTAATTAAAATAAATCTAAATAGATTTAGTCTTAAAATAAGTAGATCCCTTATATATATAAATATTTACAAATTTAAGTATATTTATTTTTGAAAACATTAAGATAAATAAATTATATATATTTTTATTATTTATACTTGTAGAAACTTATCAAATCATTATGTGAAAGAAATAAAATAATTAATAAAAAATAAGAAGGAGGAAAGAAATAATAATAATTTACGAAACATGGAAAGTTAATTATTGTTTATATAAATGTCAACAAATCGATTGATGATTAAATCAATATTGTTAAAATTAGATTTTTTTATTATAACGAATTGAATTATACTGTTTTTATTATTACAATTATATCAATATATACTAATAAATTGTGGAATGTGATTGATCAAAGTAATAATAAGAAACAGAGTTAAATATATTTTTAATTTTTATAAAATAAATGATTTTTAATTTTTAATTATTTTTGTTTTTTTATCTTTAAAAAGTATAAAATATTAATTTTTATTATTGTGAATGGGTAAATTTTGATTATGATTAATATAAAATATTTTTCTTTAATTTTTATCTTTCTAAAACTTCAAATTATTATTTTTAATCTCTAATAATTATTTTAAAATAGATAAATAATATTTATTTAAAAAATTTATAAAAAAATTTAGAAGTATCAAACACTAATATAATATTAATTGAGTAATAAAAATCTAAGATGATAATTTAATATTTTAATAAATAAAAAATAATTAAAAATGAATAGAGACTAAAAATAATAATTTTATTTTAAAAAGAAAAAAAAGAAAAGAAATTGCAGGACCAAAATTTAGTTAATACTGATTAATTTTGCATGCACTAAAATAATCTTTTTAACTTAATTTCTCTTACAAGCTTTGATTTTTTTTAGAATAACTTCTTTCACGAGTTTACCATATAGTATTAATTAATGATGATTTTTGTCCAATTTCTTTGATGTCTTAAAAAAATCACATTCCTCGTTGTTGAAGACTTTCCATTATGGCGTCAAGAAAACAAAGACTTTTCCTTATCAAATTGATTGATTAAGAGAAATTCGAAACATAATTTAAAATAAAATTAATATTTAATCAAAATAAAATTAAATAATAGTACAATAAAAAATAATGAAACAAAAATCACAATCCAAGTCCCAAGACCTCATCTTCTGTATTATTTCAATGCAACTTATTCATAAAATATTGATTACTGTGCGACCGCCCACAGATAATTTTTTCCAAAGCAACCCTTATCCTGCTACTAGTCATAGAAGGCTACTAGTGATAGTTGACCTTTATCTATAAATATCTGCTCCACGCGTTCCTTTTCTGACCGTTTGATCAACCTTTCTCTCTCAAATATTCATCACTCTCGTCACTTTTTTGCCACGTGTTGGGACCACACTTCAATTAAAAAGACCGGTTCCTAACCTCAGCTTCGGAAGAACCGAACCTGAAGCTGCTGTCCCTTTCCCTTTATCCACTTTTTCATGATGCTATTTATTTACCTTTGTGGCTTCTCACTCACTCACTCACTCACTCCACAATTGTGATCTTAGCAAAGCCACAAACATCAGTGTTACTCTGAAACTAGGTGACTATGGAGCATAGTCATCATTTTCTTTATATGTGTGTGTGCCCATTTTATGGATGCAATTTTCTTGTTCAATTTTGAGCCTGTGACCTATTTTTTATGAAGTATTTTTTTTTAATATAATTTTTAATTGGTAGTTTGTTGATCTAATTCTCAATAGTTGGTTGATGTTTTTGGGCGGAGAATACTGTATGCTGGATTTTATTTTTTTCTTCTTCTCCTTCATGGTTTGACTCTGATTTAGCTGATGTACCCACCTTATCTGTGACCCATTTCATTTTTTTTAATGTTAGTACAGTGATCCAATTCTCAGTAGTATTTTATTTTGTGCTTGTGCGTGGGAATAGTACTAAAAAGATTAAATTTTTTGTTAGTGCAGCCACTTTACATTTTTGGTTACTTTAATTTTATTTATTTATTTTTTGTGGGAGGGGTTGATCTTGTTATTGATAATTTTTTTAGGTTGTTTTTGGCACTTTTGATTTCTGGGTTTGATTGGATATTAGGATATAGGGTATAATAGGTTTGTTTCTCTTGTGACGTATTGCTGTTATTCTTGCGATCATGCATTTGTTAGCTTAATTGAGTGAATCTCTTGTTGTGGATGCTTACTGGGTTGATTTGATTCTCGGATCTGCTTGTTATTCTATTTTCTTGTATAAATTCCTAAAACTGTAGATCTCACTTGCAAACTATTTTTTTTTTTTTTGGAATCTAACAATAGATAAAAGGTTTTTTTTCTTTCTCTTTTCCTTTTGTTTTTGGGGGAGGAGGAGGATCTGTGATGAAAGGCTATCTGAATTGCTGCTTTTGTGGTGAATCTTCTTTTTATGGTATTGATCAGAAGCATCTATGCCAGACAATTAAGCATCAGATAGGCCTAGATCCAAAATCAGGGATAAGTGATAGTATATGTCTCTTCTCTGTGAACTGTTGTGGTGATTGGGCCTTATGGCTTGGACCACTTGGAGTCCCAATTTTTCTGTCTATAATTTTTGAAAACAAGAAAAAAGTATTTTTTTAACTAAAAAATACGTCATAATTATATAAAGCCAAAATTTAGAAATTTCTTGATGTTTTGGTGTTCCACTAAATTAAAAATGATAAATTATGAAATATAATATTTCTTAAAGAAAAAAAGAAAAGTTACAATGCTCTTACTTTTTAGTTGTTTCCTAGAAGAAATCGTGTCATTGATATGATGTATGTGGGTAGAGTGAAATGTTAGTAATGTTTTATATCCTTAATACACCACTCTATCATCGTGTATATTGATATTTTGTTTTGTTGTAGACCTAGCTGAAGTTAGTGTAAGAGGTATGATGGCATTGGTCTCTGGAAGAAGTTCTGCTCTGAACCCAAATGCACCTCTATTCGTACCTGCTGCTCTTCGTCAGGTGGAGGATTTTTCACCTCAATGGTGGGATCTTGTGAAATCTTCAACATGGTTTCGTGATTATTGGTTGAGCCAACACAAGGAGGAAGAATTTGAAGAAGTTGGTAATGATTCTACTAATGATGATGATATGGAGAATATTCTCTCAGAAACATTTGATCTAGACATGGAAGAAGATTTCAATGTTCTAGAAAACGAGTTTGAGCAGTTGATGTCCTCTGAAACTCAAGATTATCCCGTTCAGGATGATTCTAATGACGGAAAAGGGGCTCCTCAAGGTACTCTGACTGTTTATGAAAATTTTTGAGATATTTTCTTATTTGTGAGTCTAGTTATATGACTTCATTTTGTTTCAAATGCTAGTTGAGATGTTAAGCTTGTTTCAATTATTAAGCTAGCAGATCATAAGATATTAAGCTAGTTTATCTGCTGAATGTTAGTTTCTCATCTAGTTTTAGTTTAGATATAATGGATGTTTGTGAGAAAAGTAAGATATCTAGTTTGAAATTGAATGGATCTTTCCTTTTCAATGATATAACATCGTTGTGGGGTTACCGGCTTACCATTCTGCAATTCAAGGAATGAGAGCTTATTGATGTCAATTTGGTATGCAAACCCCTTGAAGTGCATGTCTTGCTGATATGACAAAGTTTGTTTTTATTTTGAGCTCGATCATGTTATAGTAGTTAGTTATATCATGATCTACGTTATAGGTACCATAAGATAGAAAAAGTACATTATCTCAGTTGATTTGTTTCTTGTTAATCAGGTCTCAACAAGGATGTTAAAGCTCTTCTTAGTAACTTGACAACAAAATCAGCATCACCAAGGGAAAGGGGTCCCAAGTCCCCTTCTGGGCTTGCAAAGCACCTTGAGAAGCCAGCACAGCATGTGAACATGAAGAGTGTGTCTCTCCGAATTCACCAACCTCGTTGAGGAAAAGTTTGAAGCTCGTAGTGATTGATAACTTGCCAGAGCTGCAAGTTGCTGACTAGAGTATGAGATCTGTGTTGAAATAAGTTTTGTATATAGAGGGTGTGGTGTTTTTGTATTTTTCTTGTTTATGGTCTTGTATATTTGATGGAACCCTCGGAACTGTAGGTAGGTGAGACTTTAATTCTGACCAGCCAAAATCCGGGAATATGTCTATGGTTGATGAACTTTACCTAATCTCAATTTGGAAATTAATAAATGTTGGATGGCATGAGATGTGTGGATTTAAATTCAAGCCTTGATTGATTATATTTAGATGATAATGATATACTAGCTGCTTTAAGTATACAATGGACCTAGTGGACTTTATGTGAAAAGGATTAAGAATGTAACTAGAAATGAGATTATTAATTTAATCTAACATGGATTTTGTGTTTTAGTTTATGCATTTAAATTTAGAAACACCTATTCAACATATGCTTCCAATTCTTTGATTGATTTTGTATTGCATCCATGATTTGGTTCCCACTATTTTGTTGCCTTCGAATTCGAAGTTGAAATATCCTTTTGCTTAATGGTACTCATTCTACCCTTTCGTTTATATCAACATGTTCTTTATCCATTCAAATGTAGTTGCCGTTGGGTTTTGAGTTGGAAACGTGACTGTCAGTGATGCCATTCTTTATATGTCTTTGCAATTGTCAAAACCCAAATCGGAAGGAAATAGTAGTTTTAATTCATTGTTCTCCATTTATGAAGAGTTGGGTAGTTTTTTTTGTGCATGTTAAAGATAAGGATTAAATACGTTTTTAATTTATGTTTTTTGGGAATTTTTGTTTTTAATTATTAAACAAATTTTATTTGGTTTTAGTATTTGAAACTTTTTTATGAGAAAAGAATTTGATGTTAAGAACTAAAATGCTTATACAAGAAAAAACTCATTTTAGTATTTAAAACTTTTTTATGAGAAAAGAATTTGATGTTAAGAACCAAAATGCTTATAGAAGAAAAAACTTAGGATCAAAAGTGAAGAAAAATAAACATTTAAGGATTAAAATTAGTAAAAATATTTGTTTAGAGATTAAAAAAATTAACAAATGTTTTATTCAATTTTTAATATAACTAGTACGGTATTTGTGCCTTGTATGGGTAACAAAGATAGAATTATATTTTATTAATATTATTGTTTATATATGTAATCAATTGATTAAAAAAATGTAAAATTGTAAAAAAAATGTAAAATTGTAAAAGGAAATTTTGGAAGTGATAATATATTCAAATGCACTAGTAATAGTTACAGTGAATATCAAATATAAAATGAGATTTGAAACAAAATCATGGTATTTTCATAACTTCCAATAACTTGAGAAGGATGATAATTTGAGTTTGAAAGACAAAGTTTTTCAGCACCACAACAAAATACATCTAAGAGATATGTAAATTGGGACCATGTAACAACACATTAAAAGTTACATGAGATATTCGATAAAAAAAAAATCAATTGAATTTCAACGGAACAAAATGTTTAACGCAATAAAAAAATAAAAAATAAAAGTATGATTCTTAACATGAGCTATATACAATTTAGGTAATTTGTTACATATTACATTTAGTTAATACTTAACATAATGAATTAATAATTTGAATTAGTTGTTATGAACTGCATTAATTCTAATTTATCCAGTCTTCATCATTAATTTAATTAACTATAAGATTGTATTCGGTTTGAAATATTTATCAACCAAGATTAAAACAACCATTTTTTGGTTACGAAAACTATTATAATAATTACTTCGTCATCAAGTAAGGTTAAAAATTTGAGACTAAAAGTTGCATTTCTAATGATCATTTAAAATGCGTTATCTAGTTCAACATGCATAAGATACACATATACAATACAAATAATCCTTATTTGTGTCAAATGTATATACATTAAAGATACATACACAATTAAATACATTTTTATTATGATAAATTAATACTCTAATATAAGTGTACTAAGCCAACAAAAAAAAAGAAGACATGTTGACATTTGTGTATTCTAATATTGCACTTAACTAATCTCATTTTGTTTAGTATAATATTCATAGTTAAAATGACACATATACAATCAAAACATGTAAATTTATGACACCAAAATTAAGATTCATCATAAGTTGAATTTAGCTCCACCTAATATGTTTAAAGTATATCTCACATTTCATATTTAATGTTAAAATGGTAATGCATTTGGTAGCACATTGATAGATTATCAAGGCACCCTATTAATTTGTTAGTTGATCACATGATTGAAAATATATGAATATAGTTGATATGTAGGCAATTTGTGACCAAAACATAACACTAAGACTATTTTCATTTGGCACCAACCTACAACTTTTTTATGAAATATGAAATATCAAATATTAGTGAGATTTATATAATTTAAATCACATTAACTTCCTGGACAGAAAATGCTTAAACTTTAATGCAATGTACATTTATTTATCATATTTTAAAAATAACTAAAATGAAATTTAAAATGTGGAATGAGAAATCAAATTTATTTTGTATTTTTAACAACATTTCTTATGTATAATGCTTACCAAAATATTGTAAGTATTGGTCAAAAATGAAAAAATATTGAAGTGATAAAAAATCCTACAACATGTCTTCTATACACATTACCTATCAACATGAATTGGACTTTATAATTTGTGATGAACCAAAATTTATCTAAATAATGAGTATCTTTGTCCTCAACACATCATCCTTACTTTCTCTTCCCCTAACTTTGTAAAAAAAAAAAAAAAAAAAAAAAAAAAATATGTAAGACAAATTTTAACATCAACAAATGTAGTAAAAAATCATAATCTTCTTATTAAACATAACATTGTTTCCTCATCTTCCTCCAAAACCATAAAAGAATAAACATAATTCATCAAGATAGATAACATTTAGCGGTAAAAAGTGAGACATAAAACAACATAGGAACCAACAATTTAAAATGATATTTAAAATAAATAAAACTTAGAACATATATGTAAAAGTAAACTTCACATAGCATATAAAAAATAACTTTAAAAATATAAATGCTTAACAAGAAAATAATATTGAAAATAAAATTAAAGTTCATAGTATAAAACACACAAATAACCCAACACAAAGGGAGACAATTTTATCAAATATAATTGAGGAATAAGATAACTTACTCATTCCACTCAAATTTGAGTTTTGAAAGAATAAAAATGAAAATACTTTTAAAATAACAAAATTGAAAGGATAAGAAAAAAATACCAAAGAAGAAAATGAAAAATGAAAAATCAAAAGAAAATAAAGTTACACAACATTTGTTAACATGAACTAAGCTTGATAATTTTAAACGAACAAAAGAGATATAGAAAAATCATACACAAGACGTAGTGTTTATTATTTGAGAAGAGAAAATGAAACTGAAAAGTGAGGAAACATTTTTAACATAAATAAAAAGTAAAATATAAGTCAACATTTATCTAAACAATAGGTATCTATGTCCCTATCTCCTACCATGTCATCTGTTAAGTTAAAAGATGATCTTAGATCCCTCAATTTTTAATGATAACAAACAAAAGATTTTCTTTTTAAGCAAAGTCTAGTATCTACAAAGATATACTATATCAGATGAAATATGGAAAATATATATCATCTGTAAGACGAAACATATAGTCAGTCTCTATGTATTAAACGTATATTTCCAAGTGAGACTAACATTAGGTTTCATTAAATATTTTATTCCTTAACAGATTGAGCAAGAAAGAAGCTTTAGAACTTTCAAAATTTGTTAAAGAAGGAAAAGAAAAATATCCGTTAGAAGAAAAAAGCAAAATCTTGGATGTCACGAAAAAGGTTTTGCAAAAGAATACTCTGCGCTAACTTCAACTACTCTCGCTGACATAGCTTTTGTCATGCTCAATTTAGAAGGAAGTGATGATAAGTAGTTTGCTAGATCATATAAGAGATACACACTTTGCTAAAAGACATTTAATGTTCACATTAAATGCATCAATGATAATTTATATGATCAACAAAAAAAGACAGACGAAGCAACTCGTGAAGCATATTGTAAGTTCAACTCAATGTTGTTGTAACAATCATCTTCTTTGAAGCTACTATAAAATGATCAAGCCTTCAAACAACAAATGTAGTAGAGCGACACATACAGAGACATATAAAAGTAATACACATTGAGAAATTTGTATAGAGAAGCATACAAAAATATACAGAGTAGAAACACTAGATACAAATATTTCATTGTAAATCTTGTACATATTTCTTTGTAGATTACTTGTGCTTTCATTGTTGATTACATCATGTCTAGAAGAGACAAAACAACTATGTGATCATCCATTACCTTTGTTGTAAGGGCTGAGCCTAAAGAGGTTTGTGTGAAAGAATACTTGGTGTTGAGCCTAAAGAGACTTGGTTGAAAGAATACTTAGTGTTGAGCCTCGAGAAGCTTGGTTGAAAGAATGAAAGAATACTTAGTGTTGAGCTTGAAGAGGCTTGGTTGAAAGAAAACTTTGTGCTAAGCTTGGAGAGGCTTGTTGTTCAAAGAATATCTGGGTAATTTCTTGAAGAGGCAAGTCAAAGACTACTTATGATTGAGCCAAAAGTGGTTTGGTAAAAGAATACTTGTAACTTTGTGAAAGTTAGTAGAACTCAATTTGGTTGAATTAAGAATTAGACATAATCTTGATGGTTGAGACGAACCAGTATAAAAATCTCTGGTGCTTCATCTGACTCTTCTCCAACACTTTGTTTCATAAGTTATTTTCTTTTTACTACACAAACGTGAGTTTTTGATACACACTATTCAACCTCCATTCTAGTGTGTGTCTTTTCTCAACATCATCTTTACTTGTTCTTCTCCAAAATCATGATAAATTAAACATAATAAATCATGTAAGAAAAATTTTAACATCACCAAAGTAAAAAAAAAAAAAAAAGTCAAAGTCCCCTTATTAAACATGGTATCCTTTACTCAACTTTCCCCAAAACCATAAAAGACTAGGCAGACAAAAATGTAAAAAATAGGTGTTCCCGTCTTCAGCACATCATCCTTACTTTCTCTTCCGCAAAAATTGTAAAAATTAATTAAATAAACATAATAAATAATGTAAGACAACTTTTAACATCAACAAAAATAGTAAAAAAATTAATCTCCTTATTAAACATGAAATTAATTGTTTACTTATCTTCCTCTAAAGCCATAAAAGAACTAACATAATTAATCAAGATAGACAAAATTTAACAATAACAAAAGTAACAAAATGATGT